AGAGCGCAGGCCCGTGAGCAGCAGCCTCGCCATCGTGCAGAAGACGCAACAGCTGCTTGGCACGCCGGCACACCACCTTTACAAAGTCGGTCTCCTAGCAACAAGGAGAGATAAATATTTTCTTAGAGAATGATTTCCAAATTACTAGAATTTTTCAGTGTTTATATTTTAAACTATTGTTAATTTCATATCATGCATATGTGTACCTGATTATAAGATCCAAAAGTTGCTTCGGGGAGAACACCTTTTCAAAGTCGGCGTGTCTGGGCGAGGAATATTTGCTACAGAAAAAAACCTGAAACGCCATACTTTGTTATTAGTCGCATCATACCCTGTGATAAACACTTTTGAAGGATTGTTTTCTTCTCCACAAAATAATTATCAATATGATATATTTAACTATCTACCTATCCATCTATCAACCTATCTATCAGTCTATCAGTCTATCAGTCTATCAGTCTATCAGTCTATCTCTCTGTATGTGTGCTAAGTGTATGTATGTATTTCCATGAGCAAAGGCCATATCAATATATTTCGAAGAGGATGATTTTAAGACGTCTGAAGTTTATTACTTGTGGTAATGATGATGCTTCTAATAGCATGCTGGTGATCCCACCACTAACTGTGAACAATGTTAAAAATGTTAAGATTTACGATTAGGATTGTTTTCATGCTTCTCATCAATGCGATTAGTTGTTTTAGTAAAACTCTTACTTACTGTGTCTCTAAAATCAATATTTACGAAACATATCAGCCTTTGAATCAGTCCAGTAACAAATATCCTTAAGTTAGTATAACAAGTATCGATTATTTTCTTCACGACAGAATAGTGCGCAAGAATGTGTTTTAACCGTACTTACAACACACACGATACACATTATTTGGCCATAGTAACAGAAATTAACGCTGTTTCTATGGTAGTGTTAGTTACTTCATCATCGACTCTGTCGTTGACCTTCGCTTGGAATCTATAATAGTAAAAAAAAAAAAAAAAAAATCCAGTTCAGCTCTGACCTTCATCTACACGCGCAACTATTTCTTTTCATCATGAATTATAGCTAGTGCGAAAGGGATAATACTTTTTGCAATTTTGCGTTGGTATACTGGTGTAAGCACAATGACAGTCAATTTCTACTGACACTTGCTCATGCGAGATGTAGAGCGCGAAATTATTCTGCCGCAAACTGTCACTCAAATATAGGCCTGAAAGGAGAACAAGATGCTCCCTCACCTTATATATTTATTATTTTCTAAAAAAGAAATGTTTCTAATTGTCTAGCTTTATACAAATTTCGACGTATATATTCCGATTTACAAAATGCGAAACAATGTACATAAATATGCAATTATATATATTATCATGTTTATGCAAGGCGTTATCTATAGGCGTTATCAAACTGTCATTGTTATTTTGTAGGAAAATAGTTTCTAGACAAGCTTCTCAGTTGTCTTTCTGTCTATAATGATTATAATAATAAAAGTGATAATGATAATAATAACAACAAAAACAACTATAATAATAATAATAATGATAATAATAATAATAATAATAATAATAATAATAATAATGAAATACTGATAATGATAAAAATGATAAAAATGAAAATAACAAAACAACTATAATAATAATAATAATAATAATAATAATAATAATGATAATGATAATAATAATAATAATGATAATTTGTGAGTATAAAATCGGGTATGATTGTGAGTTCGAGTACAGAAAAGACTGTAGCAAATTAAGATAACTTTCATAACTTTTAAGTCAAAATATAATGTAGTCCTGTAAAGACGGTGTTGCCACACCTTGTCATTTTATCTAAGTTCACAGAAGCTTTATGCATGTATTTATTATTTTTATCAATACCTAACACTTAATATCGACCATGCTCACCTGGCGGCAAGTTATTTGTTTGATTTTGACAACTCATAGGGTTGCAGATCGCTGACTGAAAGCGGCTGTCGCACGCACGCACCCACAAACACATACACACACACGCACACACACACACACCTCCCTCTCTCTCTCTCTCTCTCTCTCTCTCTCTCTCTCTCTCTCTCTCTCTCTCTCTCTCTCTCTCTCTCTCTCTCTCTCTCTCTCTCTCTCTCTCTCTGTATGTATTTAGGATGTATATATCTATTTGCGTGTAAACTTGATTTCTTACGTCTTTATCTCGAGCCTGTAAAGTATTGAGCAACAAAATTTACCTTAACTTCAACGCTAACATATCTTTGATTTACCAAAAGGCACCTTAAATGACATTGCGATTCACTTCAATTCTAACAATTAAGTAATCATAAAGGATTTACTAAAAAGTATTCATTAAAATGCCATATAATTGCACAAAGCAACGCAAGGATTTCAAAGACTACCAGGCATAAATCAAATGCTAACTCTATACCCAGCATCACACCGAGGTTTGAAAAAGATAATTCAAGGTCACTAATTTGCTGACTATTGCCACGAGAACCCTGAGAAACCTGTGGTTTGGTTATTTTTCTTGTGTGTTTTATGCTGTACGTGATTTTCTGTTTAAAACTCGAAAGTAGAAGCAAGTTTGATTGGATTGAATAACGCTGAGGTTTAGTATTACATAAAATTCATGCACACAAAACACAAAAACATAACGATATTCTCTCAATCTTTGTTTGTCAGGCTATGTCTGCAAATGCCTGTTGATCGGGTATGACGATAATACATGGCCCTGAGTGTCAGAATCGTTCTTTGCTTTTATAAATTTGCTGTCAAGTATAATGTTGCAGCTAATTATCAGTCAAACAGCATGAACAATGTATTTGAAAATAATAATTTCAGGTTTATATGGGTTATTTTCTAAGAAGAGTAGATACTAATCTGATAAGTTTTGCTTAAGATCCTATTAATATGTATTTTTCATCTGGCCGAATCAAGCTTCATCGCTAAGCGGTACGCATGGACCGAGGCACGACGTGTACAGTAACAGTTATGTCATAACTGAACATTTGTATCAAAGCATGTGCAATCCCTGCTTTCACTTTTATTTATCAACTGAATAATTTGGTGGTTTCAATGTTCTCTACAAACACTGTACAGCATTATATCATTTTTCTTCATTCACAATTTACTATCCGTCAGTATCCTTTCTTAAATAACTAACCATCGGGAAAGATAAAAAAAAAAAAAAAAATCACTCGTCTGTACTTTTCTCAGTCTCTCTCTTGCCTGAACTACCCAGTCACATTAAAAATTTTGGTTGAGAAAGAGTGGCCAGGAAGTTTGGTTAGGTCTCTCTCTCTCTCTCTCTCTCTCTCTCTCTCTCTCTCTCTCTCTCTCTCTCTCTCTCTCTCTCTCTCTCTCTCTCTCTCTCTCTCTCTCTCTCTCTCTCTCTCTCTCTCTCTCTCTCTCTCTCTCTCTCTCTCTCTCTCTCTCTCTCTCTCTCTCTCTCTCTCTCTCTCTCTCTCTCTCTCTCTCTCTCTCTCTCTCTCTCTCTCTCTCTCTCTCTCTCTCTCTCTCTCTCTCTCTCTCTCTCTCTCTCTCTCTCTCTCTCTCTCTCTCTCTCTCTCTCTCTCTCTCTCTCTCTCTCTCTCTCTCTCTCTCTCTCTCTCTCTCTCTCTCTCTCTCTCTCTCTCTCTCTCTCTCTCTCTCTCTCTCTCTCTCTCTCTCTCTCTCTCTCTCTCTCTCTCTCTCTCTCTCTCTCTCTCTCTCTCTCTCTCTCTCTCTCTCTCTCTCTCTCTCTCTCTCTCTCTCTCTCTCTCTCTCTCTCTCTCTCTCTCTCTCTCTCTCTCTCTCTCTCTCTCTCTCTCTCTCTCTCTCTCTCTCTCTCTCTCTCTCTCTCTCTCTCTCTCTCTCTCTCTCTCTCTCTCTCTCTCTCTCTCTCTCTCTCTCTCTCTCTCTCTCTCTCTCTCTCTCTCTCTCTCTCTCTCTCTCTCTCTCTCTCTCTCTCTCTCTCTCTCTCTCTCTCTCTCTCTCTCTCTCTCTCTCTCTCTCTCTCTCTCTCTCTCTCTCTCTCTCTCTCTCTCTCTCTCTCTCTCTCTCTCTCTCTCTCTCTCTCTCTCTCTCTCTCTCTCTCTCTCTCTCTCTCTCTCTCTCTCTCTCTCTCTCTCTCTCTCTCTCTCTCTCTCTCTCTCTCTCTCTCTCTCTCTCTCTCTCTCTCTCTCTCTCTCTCTCTCTCTCTCTCTCTCTCTCTCTCTCTCTCTCTCTCTCTCTCTCTCTCTCTCTCTCTCTCTCTCTCTCTCTCTCTCTCTCTCTCTCTCTCTCTCTCTCTCTCTCTCTCTCTCTCTCTCTCTCTCTCTCTCTCTCTCTCTCTCTCTCTCTCTCTCTCTCTCTCTCTCTCTCTCTCTCTCTCTCTCTCTCTCTCTCTCTCTCTCTCTCTCTCTCTCTCTCTCTCTCTCTCTCTCTCTCTCTCTCTCTCTCTCTCTCTCTCTCTCTCTCTCTCTCTCTCTCTCTCTCTCTCTCTCTCTCTCTCTCTCTCTCTCTCTCTCTCTCTCTCTCTCTCTCTCTCTCTCTCTCTCTCTCTCTCTCTCTCTCTCTCTCTCTCTCTCTCTCTCTCTCTCTCTCTCTCTCTCTCTCTCTCTCTCTCTCTCTCTCTCTCTCTCTCTCTCTCTCTCTCTCTCTCTCTCTCTCTCTCTCTCTCTCTCTCTCTCTCTCTCTCTCTCTCTCTCTCTCTCTCTCTCTCTCTCTCTCTCTCTCTCTCTCTCTCTCTCTCTCTCTCTCTCTCTCTCTCTCTCTCTCTCTCTCTCTCTCTCTCTCTCTCTCTCTCTCTCTCTCTCTCTCTCTCTCTCTCTCTCTCTCTCTCTCTCTCTCTCTCTCTCTCTCTCTCTCTCTCTCTCTCTCTCTCTCTCTCTCTCTCTCTCTCTCTCTCTCTCTCTCTCTCTCTCTCTCTCTCTCTCTCTCTCTCTCTCTCTCTCTCTCTCTCTCTCTCTCTCTCTCTCTCTCTCTCTCTCTCTCTCTCTCTCTCTCTCTCTCTCTCTCTCTCTCTCTCTCTCTCTCTCTCTCTCTCTCTCTCTCTCTCTCTCTCTCTCTCTCTCTCTCTCTCTCTCTCTCTCTCTCTCTCTCTCTCTCTCTCTCTCTCTCTCTCTCTCTCTCTCTCTCTCTCTCTCTCTCTCTCTCTCTCTCTCTCTCTCTCTCTCTCTCTCTCTCTCTCTCTCTCTCTCTCTCTCTCTCTCTCTCTCTCTCTCTCTCTCTCTCTCTCTCTCTCTCTCTCTCTCTCTGTATGTATTTTATGGATGTATATATCTATTTGCGTTGTAAACTTGATTTCTTACGTCTTTATCTCGAGCCTGTAAAGTATTGAGCAACAAAATTTACCTTAACTTCAACGCTAACATATCTTTGATTTACCAAAAGGCACCTTAAATGACATTGCGATTCACTTCAATTCTAACAATTAAGTAATCATAAAGGATTTACTAAAAAGTATTCATTAAAATGCCATATAATTGCACAAAGCAACGCAAGGATTTCAAAGACTACCAGGCATAAATCAAATGCTAACTCTATACCCAGCATCACACCGAGGTTTGAAAAAGACAATTCAAGGTCACTAATTTGCTGACTATTGCCACGAAAACCCTGAGAAACCTGTGGTTTGGTTATTTTTCTTGTGTGTTTTATGCTGTACGTGATTTTCTGTTTAAAACTCGAAAGTAGAAGCAAGTTTGATTGGATTGAATAACGCTGAGGTTTAGTATTACATAAAATTCATGCACACAAAACACAAAAACATAACGATATTCTCTCAATCTTTGTTTGTCAGGCTATGTCTGCAAATGCCTGTTGATCGGGTATGACGATAATACATGGCCCTGAGTGTCAGAATCAGATATTTACTTTTAGTGACAGAATTATCACGTATCACTTGTGATAGGATGCTAATCTACGAATGAAAGCAAATTTGATTTATGTTTTAAATTGTTTTAGAAGTTTCACTGTAGAAGAGTCGCCATCACATGATGTTTATTAAAGAAAGAAAGAAAGACAGAAAAAAATATATATGTAGATACGGCGGTCGTTGAGGTCCGTAACATTTTTGCCACTCAATTAGAAATATCAGCAGAATATTGCATTTGTTCATGCTGAAACGATTTTGTTAATCGGCAGCAAAAAGCTCATGTTACTTAGAGGCTCCATGAATAGGGGTGATCATGCTTTTTATAAATTATCTGTTTTAAGTGGGCTAGATATTCAGTTTTTATCATCAAACTTTTATAAGAGCTTCACAATTAAGTCATTAATTTGAGAAAATTCGGCGCAGTCGTATAAAACCAGGTAAAGCTGGCGCTAAACTGAAATTTTCAGTAATAAAAAAGACATGGAATTATCGCCTCATTTTGTCCGGCGCGTTGTTTGATGATGTCTCCAAGTTTCGACGGATGTGTACTCCAGACATACGACGCAAGATATTTCTCATTTCAAGGTAAGTAAGACCGTAAGTAGCCAATATCAGTAATTATTGAGATAAACTGCTCTTTTATTACTTCGATGATCTGTCATTTAAGCATTCGGAATATCAATGCCACGCAGGTCGTTCGTTAGGCCTATGGGAAAATATTTCCGTACGCTTTTTCTTTGTGATTTCCGTTAA